TTTTATGACTTTTAAGAAAATGAATAAGCTTTATTGTCTGCTCTTACCACTTCTCCACTTCTGGCCCCTTGAATCAAAGACAGAATCCCATAAGCTCCAGACACATAGTTTAATGTCTCTGAATGAGCATCATTCAGATTTTTCAAAATTTCCTTAAGTTTCAGTATTTCTGTTAGAAATTGGAAAAGAAATATAAATCTGAGCAATACATTGTCTGTTACACAAGAACATACCATCACTGGTAGTGACTTCACCTACCATTGACATCTGGATTTACATTCTCCCCTTTGAGGAACTCTTTGGAGCTCACTGTGAAGACTTGGAAACAATCCTCACTGAAGTGATTCTGAGAACATTTTTGTTAGTTTTTATTTTTGGACCGTTTAAGAAGATAATTGCTTTAGATTTTGCTGTCAGATTATAAATTTACCTTAATCTTTTTCTGCTTTTTGAATTCCTTCTTCACTGCATTCTTGACTTTGTTTCTTTTAGAAAGGAAATAAAAATTGGATGTAAAAGTAATTTATTGTTAGTATTGTAATGGAAAAATTCAATTATTCTTATTTAAGGTTCAAGCATTTGTGTGCATACTCAGTTGTGGGATTGTAATGAAAACTTCCCCTGAGCAGTCTAAAACTAGATGAACTTATTTCAGCCTCAGTAGTTGAAAAAATAACTCCTTTTGCAGGTGGTGATAACGCCAAGAGCATGAAACAGGATACGCATTGTTCAGTTAGGTTTCAGAGTGAGCTGCGTGATGTGTTGTATGATCACTTTCGGACTTCCTCCCTTTTTCTGGGAATAAATAAAGGTGTGAGAGCTGCACTTCTGTTTCAGAGACTGCATGACGGCGCCTCACTGCGTGTGCTCTCTCTCATGTGCATGATAATAAAGAATGTTCATTACAGCCGAATGTGTCTGTGGACTTTGTTAATCAAATTTCCACAACAGTATTTATCTAATTAGAAACTTATTAAAACACATATCCATAGATTTTTTTAAATGTATAACTTTTAATAATGACTTTTAAACAAAGTCTTTTAAACTTTTAAAGCAACAAAAAAGTGAAGTGTATGGTCACCATGTGTATCTGTGCCAAACTTTCTTTGTAATTTGATTTTTTTGTATATTTGACTTACAGATCATCTGGTTTTTCATGATCTGACTTGGTGCAGATAAAATGAATTTGTTGACACTCGCCACCATTTCCCAGCAGGCTGCTGGCACCTTCCAAGATGTCCCAGGCTTCTTTTTCTGATGCTGCTCGATTCATTTCAGTCACAATCCAAACTGTAGAACAACTGGCAATAATCTGAAAAGGAAATAAAAATGTGTAAATTATAAATAACTAATGCTTTGAAGAAAGGTGACATGACTTCTGTGAATTACCTCTGTCCACATTTGATCTCTGCTTCTGTTAGAGTCACCGTTTCCAGGAAGGTCCACGAGTGTGACGTGATCAAGAAAATCATTGTCTGGCACTTTGACAGTCACACACTTCACAAGTGGCCAGTACCACCTCTTCACTTCTTCTGTCTCATTTGACTCACTTGTTGTATATCTCACAAATTCTTCAGACAACGCTTCAGCCTGCAAAAACAAACAAACAAGATAAATACAAGCCAACTGAATGTATGTGCTCATAACAAAGATTTTAATGATTGCATGAAAAAGAAGATGGGAAATTAAAATAAGACATCCTATCTCAAAAATCTGAAATGAAAACCAGGAAAATAAATCTAAAGTAATTAGATTTTTTATTTTAAAAAATAGAAAGAAAGAAAAGAAACCTTTTTTTTATATTTTACTGTGGATCACAGTAAGTGGCCTGGTTCTTATATAGTGATTTCTTTTACTGCATGTAAACATTTAAAGCACTTTATAAAACTTGCCTCATTACCCAAGCACTTTTTTCTGGGTATGTTATTTCTAGCTAACATTTACACACATTCATTCTCTGATGGATGCATCGAAGATCAACTGGGGGTTTGTAGATATTTGGCATGCAGACTTGAGGGAGCCAGGGATTGAACCACCAACCCTGCGATTAGTAGGTGTCCTGCTCGACCTTCTGAGCAGGAGTTTTACAAATGTGAAACTCTTCAACACCTCCACAAAGAAAACTGCAAGCTCCATAGTAACAGGATAATCAGACAGCAACAGGATAGTAAACCATAAAATTTTAACCACCACAATTTTACTTGTTTTTTTGTTTCTTGTTTGATGGATGTCAAACATTCTGGAAATGAGGCCCATTAACATATTGCTGACATATATCTGCTCAGCAATATCTGCTTCATCAGTGCTTTGTCTCTTTCTGCACTTTCCATTAGGGAGGCATTACATAGCGTGGACATCTTCCTGCTGCAAAGGTGCAGCATCAGGGTAGCTTAACGCTGCTTGGGTAACTATTGACTGCTCACTATGTGATGTTCATAAGCCAGATACTGCTATGTATATCACCCAAACTGTGGTCTAATATATGCTTTAAACTGCAAGTATTCCTTTGTTCTAGAAGAAGAACCAGATTTTATTTTGGTCTGTATTACTGCACTTACTGAGTCACTTTCCAATTTTTTTATCTTGGGCTTCAGAAACTCTGGAATATCTCTGAAATATTTGTTGTCCATGAGGCTGTGAGTGGATCTTTCTTTCCACTCTTCTCCATACAGCGCTGATAACTTTCCATCAGGGTCAAGACAATCATCATTACCACCACCACCATCATCTTCTTCTTCTTCAAGAGCCAGTTTTAGGGACTGCACCTCATTTTTCCAATCCTAAAAAAGATTATATCTTAATTTTAGTAAAGCAGTTTTTGTATCTACATTCTAACACTTTACTTCAAAAATCACAATATTCACATTTTATTCTACCTCTTTTGTAATGAACTCGATGTGTGCCTCATACTTTGATCCACTGGTAGCCTCCACCTTTATCATTACTGAGGTACATGCACTGACGCTTCCAGAAGGCAACAGGCCCTCCTTATTTATGATGGCATTGATTAAAGAGCTCTTTCCAGCCCCGGTTTTACCAAAGACACCAACCAGGTGTCTCTTTTCTGTCTCCAAATCTTTGATTTTATCCCTGTTGAACGAGTTTAAATACGGATTAACTGACCCATTCTCAGAAATATCAAACTGAAAATGCAGTGAAATCAGAAACATTTGTTTTTAAAAATGTGTTGAAAAAAATTCACCTTACTACTGGAACAAACTACACAGCTCCATGTTGAGCTCTGACCGAGTTTAAATCTTTGGTATGTTTATTATACCAAATACCAGCAAAATGTTACAGACTGTCCCAACTTCCTGGGAAATGGTTGGAAGAACATCCAACAAAAATAGAAAATCTTTATTACTCACTTTAGGAAAGCGCTGAGCTTGTCACGGCCACGTAGTCTTTCACTGACACGTCTCATTATGTCTTTGACATCAGACAGTATTTCTGTTTCTGTCAGAGAAACAGAAAAAAACCCTAATAAGTAGGAACCTGGAACCAGTGTAATGCGAATATGGTCCACCGATGTGCAAATGTAACACATGGTTATTTTATTGCCAATTGTATTCTATTTTTATTCTAATTTTAAGTGTTACTGTTTTGTTAAGTGTTGAGTTTTCCCATGTACCATGAATGCACCATAGCGCTGTGCGTGGTGACTTTCTTTCACTGCATCCGCCTGCACGGAGCTAGATGCGCAAAGCTGTGTGGAGATTCAGTCCTGCAACGTGTTGCGCTACAGAATTGATGTTTTCTTTGAAGAATATCCTGGCTGTCTTTTTTTTTTTAATGTGGTAGAAATCTGCTGCAAGGACCGAGCGGTGCCATCTAAGGACTGGATACCACTAGAGGTGCCTAGAAAGGACGCTCTCAATCTGAAGGCCACCTGTTTCCTTGGAGAGTGGTAGGATACAACGATTTGTAATTTTTTTTTTTTTTTAAGGATTAACGTTTTTTAATGAGATCTCAGGACACTTTATGTTGCTACTTTTTTCCTTTTTGGGTCAGATCTGATTCCACTTAACACAAAACCTGATGCACCAAAAAGCAAATCAGTGACTAAAGACAATTCGCATAACTTGAACACTTACCAAATACTGAATACGAAGTGCACTGAACTGAAATGGACAGCATGCCTGACACATTTATGGACACTTGAAGTGATATGTTGTACATTGTTGAAGATTACACGTTTTAAGTTATTTAAAGGTTTGTTCATGTCTATGTTTTGGAGCATTTAAATGTTGAATACACGCAAATCACTTTTTTCCTTAAGTTGTTGTCAGTGTCTCATTCTGAGTGGAGGGTTTTTCCTTCTTTAAGTTGAGTTACCACTGCCAGTCTCCTTACGATCCTAACTGAACCCAACAGGAATAGATTCTGAAATATTGTTTTTTCCTTGACCTTGGATGACAGATTACTGTGGATTTGACTGATTTTGACTACTCAGTTAAAAATGGTGACACAAAGCAGGAATAAGTGTGAGGATTTCATATGTGTGTGTGTACCTGACTGTGATTCTGCTGCACAGTTGTCTTGTCGTTTAGGAGATGGTTGCCATTCGCCGAACTCACTCTGAGAAAGTTCTAACTTTCTTTTTCCTTTTTGGATTTAAACAAAATAATAAAATTTAAAAAGAAAATCTGAATATTGAAACTTCTGATTATGGCGTATTTTAGATGTTGGAAAAATAATACTGTGAAAATAAATAAATAAATAAATTAGATGTATTAAAATGAGAGCGAGATACATTTTTCTCACCTTTTTCACTTATGGATGGCAAATCCTGTGGAAGCACAGAAATATTCAACTTTCACATTTGAAGTTAAATTATTATAAATTGTACATGTATGCATAATTGAATTTATAGAAGAAAGCATTGCTCCTGTCCAGAAACAATTTGTTCTTTAACAAACTGTCAAAAACTTTCACATGCACTTTTTACAATGTACACACTTATATGTACATATATTCTCAACTAGCACAGTGATTAAAAAATGGAAAACTTTTACATTCTTGCCTCTCAGTAAACATGATCCCATGAGTCAATGTTTCTGCCTAATTTAGCACCAGTGACACAGACCTAGAGACCAGTTGGTGACCACCCCATACCTGGCAACCACCAGCTGTTAGGGTAAAATGTGTATTCCAACATCAGGCATCAGGTTGGTGGAGGTTGTAAGAACTTTAAGTCGCAGGGTGGTCAGGCTTGTGTGACTGGGCCTTTGCTTTGACTCAGGTCACCTTAGTGTATATTTATGAAGAATGAAGGCATGCTGGTTCATTATCTGATTTCCAATAACCCTTACCTGATCCAAATCAGCTGTTGCTATCACTATGTAGCAGGGTGTGAGATACCGCTGGATTTGGTATTCCTTTTATACTAAGTAAATAAAGGCCCAGTATCAATGATTTTTGTTATTATTATATTTTTGATATTTGTTTCAATTACAATAAATGTTATTATGACACTTAAAAGCAGCAGCACTTAGATAGATGGTGTTACGTCCCTCTGCAGCCTCTAATCTGCTCGGTGTGTTCAGCTGGTGCTAATTGGCCACACCTAGTCAGGTGTGGATAAAAGCATACCTGAGGCAAGCTTCCCAGGGAGCTCACTTGTCTTTGCCTTGGTGGCACCAGCCATTTTAGCCGACCTGATATTCCATTTTAAGACAAAACCTCTGTTCACCTACACTCTGGTATTCGTCTCCTTTTTTTATGTTGCGGCTTTGAGCCGGGTCGTAACAGATGGCCAGGCTGCCTCTTTGATGTTTCTAGGAGTAACAAAGAAACAGAAACCAGCATCCCAAAAAAGTTAATTCTGTTCATCTGGACATACTGTTTTCAGTGGGAGAAACGTTTCATCGCTCTTCCAAGTGACTTCTTCAGTCTCAGCTAACTGCAGGTTTCCCCAACCTTATAAACATTTGCACTTTATATAGTTGGGAAAACTTGGGATTTACTTACCTGGATGATTGAGCATGTATCAAGACAGAAACTAATATCAATCTCATTATGCTCTTATTTATCAATATCAATACAAACTTTGGCATCTATATTTTGGTTTGATCCGCCCACCACCAGGGCCATGCAGAGATGTTTAAAGGGGCGGGTGCTCAAAGTTAAAAACAGGCACATAGAACCAGGCTGAACAACAACACACATTCTTTAAGAATCTAATATGTTGCTGTTGAGGAGTTTCTGCTGCTCGTGCTCCTGATAGTGCAGGAGGAACGGGCTGTGTTGAGCTGCGACTGGAGACTGTAAAAAGTCCATTGGAGAGATGGTAGCTGATTAAACAAGTGCTATGAGACAATAATAAAAAGATTGGTGAAAGTGCCATGTCAGCAACCATAAGGCAACAAAACTGTGAGAAACAAACTAGGCTCTGCCTATGAATCACTCTTTGCCTCTCTTCTTCCTCCCATCTCCTCATCTGATTTATCACTCTCCACTTGCTGTCCATCTGAGGCACAATTTACTATTGCAATAAACTATTATTTAATTATCCACACTTAAAAACTCATCCATCTATTCTATAATAAAACAATAAGAGAAAAATGTTATAGAACCAAAACATTGCAGGTGTGTTTATCATTGTTTTATACTGGAATACCTCTGCAATGCAACAACTGGTACATGTGTTCTTGTGACCTGTGCTATTTTTTTTTTATTCCAGCCAGTTAGGGATCCACTGCGTTTAGCCTCAAAAAGCTCCTTTTGTCACTGTTTCCTTACAGGGCATGTCTGGACAATGTCATATCATGAGTAAAAATGAAAAAAATAAAAATAAAAATCTATATACATAAAATATGCACACATACATAGAGGTACACATGCACATACAGTGATATTTTATACCTTCTCCAGAATACTGCATATATCCTACTATGGCCACATGTTTGCATTATGGTCCTGATCAAGAATCCTTATTGTTTATTTCTAGCACTCTAATAATAAAGTTATTAAAATTAAAAAAAATTAAGTAATAAATATATAATAAAGTATTTATGATGATTCAATTTGTTTGACTATCTACTCTGTGCAGGCAGAAAGCTTATTAAATGCTTAAACTGTAGAGATACAATAATGTTGCTGCTGTAAAATGCTGTAAAAAAGCATTTTGTCATATTTGAAATATAAATCTAATATATTCCATTTAATATCTTTTCTTTAAAACAGTGTTTTATCATAATACCGTAATTATAATGAAACTTAATTATGTGGACATGCATATTAGATAGTTTTTAGTGAAATATAAGGGAAATGCCCTGTAACTTACTTTAATACAAAACACGTTCCCTAAAACGGTGGACAGAGCTACAGACCCATGACAGCGTTACCCAGTTAGCTGGTGGCTAAGACCAGCACTACTTGTGCAGTTAATAAAAGGACAGTTAATGTTTGTCCCGCTGTTACACACAGAGCACGCTCATTTGTTTCAATTTGTCAGTTGTCACAAGACAGTTTACCAACGTGTATAAAATAAGCTACTACTGCTGTGTGCTGTAGACTAAAGAGTACGCTGTACACCTACTTACTGGCTTTTGTTGCATCACTCTCCTACAGCTCTGCACCGCTCAAACGGCAAAAAATGCACGTGCTCTTTGAGAGTTCGTTCCCGGTTCGTAACCAGCGCGCTCTGCCATCAAGGGCGATCATTGGTTAATGGTAGTCATGTGACTGATGCAAGCCACATCCTTTTATTTAGCAAAACTATGATTAATAGTTAAATATTATTGTTGAGGGGAACAGACAGGACTCCACACGCACACAAAAATAAACAAAAAATAGTAATAAAAATAAAAAAAAAAATAAAAATTAGACTCAAGAAAAGGGCACTTGGGGCACCCATCAGGAAAGGGGCAGGTGCTCAAGCCCCCCCCCCGCATGTGCCTGCCCACCACTAATACACACATCTAACCTTCACCAACTCCTCCAACAATGAGTAGTCTGTGTGCAACCCCAATTCCCTGTCGTACAATCCCTTGGCACCTTACCGGAACGCTGTAGATCCCTCCTCGACCAGAGTTGGGTGTAGACATCCTGGCAACACTGTACACCTGCTGCACCTCCATGGCGTCCTCCTGGCATTCCTATTGAAAATGAAAGCAGAGAGGAAATGGTTGTTGGAGCATAGCCAGTGGTCCTCGATGGTCAGTATCGCTGGCGCAGGCGCAGGCGCAGTTTGCTCCTTGGGGCCAGTAGGAGCAAACTACTGGCGATCACCTGCCAAAAAGGGGTTTCCAGCTTTTGCCAAATAATTTATTGCAGGAATTTAAGCTGTTATAAATTACTCGTTGACTTAAAATCTGTCAAAAATATCGCTCATGACGAATATCAAGTAACTTAGAGAACATTTCTATCAAAAAGTAGCTACTGCAATCTTTTTTTTTGGCAAAGTAACTGTTATATATCCTTTAGTTATCGGGGTAAAAAGTAATTGACAATAACAATGTTTTTTTCAAGAGAGAGCTAGCCAAGAGGGCATCAGAAATAACAAATATAACATCACAGTTCTATAATCAAAAAGAACTGGATTGATGACAATATGGGTACAAATACACATAAAGTCATAAAGATACTTGGAAGACAGATTATTTCTTTATTTTATATACAACCCCTTCATAAACCCTGTTGACTAAAGTGTATTTACTAACATAAGTAAAGATATTAGACTTAAAAAACCAAAACATCAAAAATCACTCTTTGGCAGATGCTCACCTCCCCTGGCTGCAATCTTCTGGGGTTTTCTGTCCGCGCCGCCAGGTGGCCTTCAGCCAGCCTCACTGCCGCCTCCAGATTGGGCAGCTCTTGACACTTGACCCAGTCCGCTATTTCCCTTGGGAGCCCCTCCACAAACTGCGCCAGAACGACAGCCTCCAGCAGCCGCGCCTCCCCTTGTGTCGGGCCAGGATGCAGCCACCTCTCCGCATCGTACCGGAGCCGCTGGGCAAAAGCCGAAGGCCCTTCTTGTGGTCCCATGCAGTAACTACGGAAGCGGCGACGATGGTCTTCTGGAGAGAGTTCCATGGGGAGGTGCGGATTCGCAGCAGCCCCAGACTGAGGCAAAAGGTTTAGCATCTGCGTCTGCTGCTGGTGCAGTACCGCCTGCTGCTGCTGCAGTACCGCCTGCTGCTGCTGCAGTACTGCCTGCTGCTGCTGCAAGTTGGCCAAAATTTGAGCCAGTGCGTGACCTTGCTGTAGATTCTGTGGGTTTGACATGTCGTAGCGGCAAGCTGGGCACCACTGTATCACTCTGTTACTGATCTCTGTTACGACACACACAAGGAGACAGTTCTGCGTCACGTTTCACTAATAGTTTTTATTTAGTTCACAACTCGAAGCCACTCGTTTCACACCGTGGCAGGCATCAGCTCTTTCTCCCAGCCTCCCCTGCCGCTGTCACCTAAACTCGCTCTACCCCTCACCTGATGCTAAACCACAACCTGCCACAAAATGATATGTTGAAATTTAATGTAATTAGCGCACCATAATAGTTCTAAAACAAACTCACCTGTATGTATTAACATAAGTGACACTTTTCAGATGAAAGGTAAGAAATAACTAATTAATTTCACTCTGGGTCCAGCCAGGCATGGACTGGGACAAAAAATCCGCCCGGGCATTTTGACTAGAGACCGGCCCACCAGGT